AACGCCGATCCCCACCGCTCCCAAAAACCCCCCACTCACAAAAAACTTTTCTAACTGCCAAAGCTGTCAGTGCCTAATGAAAATTGATGTTATATGATTTAGACTGTTGTTCTTATTTTGTTTTTGTTGTTTTTTTTTTTTTAATTCGTAAGGCATTGGTACTGGGGATGACGGTACTTCAGAAAATAAATTAATATTTGTGCTCATAAGGCGGCCAAATTAATTTAATGACAGCAGTCAGGACAGCGAACTCTCCTTATCTACTGATATTGCTATGTATTTGCACGTTAATGTAAAGGATCGTGTGTGAATTAAAAGTATATTACTATAACGAACATTTTTATGTGAAAATATCCTTAACTGTAAATCATCCAACAGAAAATATTCAATTCCAGCAGTAGATAATTAAGGTAAGAATATAGTTATAGTTCTCATAATCTATTATAATTCTTTTACAGAAGTTTTACACACACAGCTTTCTCAGAAGTCAATCTACTTATATCCAACTTGCCGCATCCCCTTTAAACACGAGCTTTGCTGCATGTCTCCTATTTCAAATACCAGCTAGGTTATTTCATTACTGAATTCAAATATTCTCGTCTATGTACTTACTTACACGGAATCGGCATACATACTATATACACATATCTTACATTATATACCACTTACAGTTTATTGAAAGGAAAGCACTGCATAGCCCCATCTTAACGAGTTAAATATCTTAAATCGGTATAAGTCGATTAGTTCATTAATAAAGAGGCAACACCTGAGGAGGACTTTCCGTGCCTGTTTAAAAACAAAATCAGTTTTATTGTAGTAACTCATTGATGTACCAATTGCATTAAATTAAATTTGTACACTTGTACATTGCTTCCCACATCGGCAGCAAATGTCTTAAAAGTTCTGTGAATTTAATAAAAAACGTACACACGTAGACGTGATGCTGACCCGTCGAATGGACCATGGTAATGTGCCTTTTACTGTCCACTTACAGGAGAGTATTAAATTTTTAATGGCCGTAGCTTACCTAAAAAGAAACAAAGAAAAAGAAGAAATAGAGCATGAATACGAGTGAATATTTAATGCGGCTCCTGTTGCTGACGGAAGCACTTAAATCATCTTTAATGACAATTTTTAATACGGCTAATTACCATGTCATTTGTGTACCCTGCACCCACAGGATAAAAGAGTAAACTAGTTTAGAGCAAGTGTATGTAACCCACAGAAGGAAGCGTGACAGACCCTTCCACATTCTCCACGACCGACAAAGGGCGAGTTTGAGTTTATTTTTTCTGATGCAATAATTTAATTAAATTAATACATTCATTTAAGAGTTGGGCCCGCCACACTCAAGCATTTCATTTAATTACATTTTACTTAAATCAATTTAATTAAATTTATAAAACACAACGTATGTATTTTCAACAGCTATAACATAAATTTTAATCAGGATTGTGCCTATGCGCTCGTGTGTGTGTGGTACGGAGCTAACCTAAGCAGCAACATACTATATATATCATGAAGAAGCTCAATTTGAGCGCACTAACCGGATATAATTTCCAAATTTGAGTTCAAAGTTCCATGACTTACGGGAGTTATGGAAAAACACTAGTTACGGTGGAGTGGGAAGTGCATCAAGATATATATATGTAAGGCATCTACATATGTCTTTAGCTCCCTCTATAAGATTTTAATGTCTCTAGCTCTTACAGCCTCTGATATCAAGGTGTTCAAGCGGATGTACGGACTACAGGCAGACAGATCGACACGACTTTTCATGTCTTTCAAGAATATACGAGTATGTACTTTGTGGGCTCAGAAGCGTTTCCATTGGTCGGTTATAATTTTCATTTTGCACAAGCCTACCTTTTAGGTACGGGGTATACACAGGTTCAATAACTTCTCTGAATAAGAGTATTATTCAAAGCAGAGCCCAAATCTATGCAATATATTTGAATATTAAATTCTACATTTAGTAAGTTTCATATTTGTCACAACATTGGTTTTAGGTCTGTTGTAGTTGATTTGTATATACCAAAAATACTCAACAAAGTATATTTAATTAAATATATGTAAGTTTAGTACTCAATTCAAAAATCTTGAAATGTAAAATAGAAGAATATATTTACTAGAATTCCCAAGTCGGTTTTCTATGGTTATACGAGTTAAACGAGTAAATACAACGTTCTTCACATGTGCGGGCGTCAAGTATGTATTTTAAATTTCAATGTGCAGCTGCATTGTAAAGAAGGTGAAAAACCGATGCTTATTAAAGCATGAAAAGCAATTTTTCTTTGTAGTGCACTAACTGGCCAAGATGCTGAGGACGCTTTGGCTGCGGTTTTGGCTCCGGCCGGGCTAAGACACGGTTACACAGGCTCAGACATTTGCAGACAGTTTGCTCTTTGTCCAATTATTTACCTTTTCACCACATATTAATTATTTATATTTCTAAGCCACATGTACACTTTTATGTATTTATGGGAGTTGAATGCATGATTTAATGCATTATTTACTATACGTCTACATACTACATATATGTGCAATATAAATATAATGCTTTTAAGCATTGAACTCGAATATTCCCCGGAGAGTATCGATTGAGTTCAGATCGACTAACTGCCGCCACCTCGGCCTTATCTGACGTGTAATCAACACTATAAGAGTCAAAAATTGTGTATTTCAAGGAGAATGGAATAAGTCTATAGTCAACAGTCAACACGAGCAAAGCTTTGCAGAACGCAGGAAAAGCACAGGGCCAGAGATAAAGAGAGAGAGACGAACGGAGCAGGGCCTTAATGAACTGTTCGGCCAGGCTCAGGGACATTGACGTTGCACTGGATTGTGCGAAAACTGCCATTGCCGCTGCCATTGGATTGAGACAAAGACCAACCTGCGGGTATTCCATACGTACTAAGAAATTCCATTTGAGTACACATTTAATTACACAAAGGATGTGCAGGCATGCGCCGCCTGAAGGTCTTGGAGGTCAGCCGAAAACTCGAATGTTGCTTAGGTGGGGGCCTGAAACCGTTCAAGAACCATAGCTGTACTTGTACATATACGGATTTGCAAGAGGAAGCAGAAGACTATGGGTGCATCGAAGCTCGAACTGTTAAGCAAAACCTTCCGCATACCCCTCACCTATTTTGTATGCTAATGAGTAGGTTCTAAGCTTACTTTGCAGTACTCGCGATACTAGGCTCTAGGCCTTCTCACTATTCGTTTTATGGCATGATATAGAAATTAAATGATGATTTGTTCCCGTTAAAAGAACATTTTTTATTTAATGTTTAATATTTTATTGAATATTTTATATTTTTATAGCCTGTACCCAAAGGGTGAAAGGCTATACTAGTTTTGTGCGCGTGTATGTAACACACAGAAGGAGGCGTGGCAGACCCCACAAAGTATATATATTCTTGATCAGGATGAGAAGACGAGTCGATATAGCCATGTCCGTCTGTCCGTCTGTCCGTCTGTCTGTATGAGCGCAAGGATCTCAGTAAGTACAAGAGCTAGGATAACCAAAATTAGTATCAAGGTTCCTATAAGCCCTAGGCAGAACGAGTTTGTTTATTTTTTCTGCTGCATATATACACGCATATAAGCACGCATAGGTACGTGATGTAAATGTATGCTGTTTAAACTGAACATAAACATGTATTCTAATTTAATTTAATTAATTATTTTAATTAATTAATTCATTCATTTTTTTTAATAATTTAATTTTTTTTAAAATTTTTTTTTTTTTTAATTTTTCCTTTTTGTGGAGAGTACAGGCTATTTTACTGTCGGGCTTGCTCGACTGTAGCATTCTATCTTGTTATTTAATATATTTGTAATCTTGGTGCTTTGAAAATTTTGCTTTAACTGTAGTCATATTTTTAAAATCCTTCGAAGTATTTTAAAAATATTTAGCCAACTAGCCTATAACAGCATGGCATCATAAGCTAATTTTTCGACACCAGCCACATTCCCCAGGTTCACAAGGAGAACCCCAATTGTTTTCTAGGTCTTATAGTCTCCAAAACACACGGCGTTACTCCCCCATTATCGGGGGATTATTCAACAAATAAAACAAATTTGCTGTCTCTAGCTCTTACAGTCTCTGAGATCCAGGTGTTCATGCGGCCAAACAGACAGACAAACAGACACACAGTGCTAGATCGACTTGTCACGCTGATGAAAAATATATATACTTTGAGGGGTCGGCCACGCCTCCTTCGGCCTGCTACATTGTTCAGCTTGCGCAAACTTAATAAACTCTTGTACATTTCATGTACAGAGTATAAAAAAGACGCCTTTAGGATTCCCACAGCTGCACTAGTATTTTTTGGGGGCTACAGAGTATGCCACCTTCGGCCTTCATAGCTGTAAAACTCTCCCTTATAACTTTACAAAGTTCCATAACAAACAAAAGTGAATTAATATCATATATTTCATGAGTCACAATCTTTCGCAAAACAACAGGTCGTTTTAAAACTACGTTTCTTTTCATACGGATGCCAAGAAATTAAATTAGATACTCCATTAAATGTACATTGCAATGATCAATTCAAGTTATTAACTGGGTTATAATACATTAACATTCAAACAAAAGTAAATTAATATCATATATGTATTTCATAAGTCACAATCTTTCGCAAAACAGCAGGTCGTTTTAAAACTACGTTTCTTTTCATACGGATGCCAAGAAATTAAATTAGATACTCCATTAAATGTACATTGCAATGACCAATTCAAGTTATTAACTGGGTTATAATACATTAACATTCAAACAAAAGTAAATTAATATCACATAGTTCATGTTTCAATCTTTTACAAAACAGCAGGTCGTTTTAAAACTAAGTTTCTTTTCATACGGATGCCGAGAAATTAAATTAGATACTCCATTTAATGTACATTGCAATGATCAATTCAAGTTATTAACTGGGTTATAATACATTAACACATAATCGTAAGCTTAATGTTCCGCATGTTGAATCTGCTAATTTATGTTAGGTATTAAAACCTAGAGAGGTCCCTGTCGAACTCTTTTTTGAGGACTGGGATACTGCCGATTCGATCGGGTCCTTCAGCTCGTACACCTTGTACACCAAGTAGTTTGGCTTGATGAATTTGTTCGATAATTTCAGTGAGTATGGATCAAATGGAAAGAATGTATCGAGGGTTTTCTCTGGCAGAGCCTCGTCATGGCGATAAACGATGGCCAACTTGTGGCTTGTATTCTGCTCCAAAACAGTGTAGCAGTGCGCCAATTGGTGAGCACGCGTCACAGCAGCAAAAGCGGTGGCAACTGGTGGTAGACAGTAGCGTAGCGGATTAAAACGGCACAGTACTAGCCGGGAGAGCTGCAAGGACTGCAGAAAGCGCAAGTTTTTAGAACTAGCAGTAAGATCTTGAGCTCGAAACGCTATCAGATAAAAAACCGCGTGGCAAACCGAAAAGAAGACTATATTGGTATTGGAGGTACACTCTTCATCACTGTCGTCTATATAGGTATGTGCCCATCTGCAAAGTTTCTTTAGATATGAAGTAATGGTGTTTAATGGCAAGAATTTGGCACGCGCCAGGAAACTGGCCATGTAGCAGATGGCCGCATGTCGTATAACAGCTGACGTTTTAGGGTTCTGCATCTTCTGCAACAGCATGCAGAGGAACGATTGCGCAAACAGTTTCTTAAAGCTGCAGACGTAAAAAATTACGAATTGGACGTGATGAGTGTCGTGGCTGGGAAGCAGCACATTCTCGAAAATGTTCAACAGGATCTTGAAAAAACGATTTTGAGAACAGCGATCTTCGTCTGTGGAGTCGGGTGCGGGGCGGCATTTACTTTCCAAGAACTTGTACAGTTTCATTAGACATATGTCCAATGTTCGGCCGATGGGGTGCTTCACCCATCGAGACCGTTTTGACCTTGCTGTTGCTATGTGAGGATCAGCTTCCTCATCGAGATCAATTTCGGCCGGTGGCGCATGCACGTCTAATATTAACAGCTTCTGCAGTGCCAGGTGCAAGAGCAACTCCGCAAAAATGGGCTTATATTCTATGAGCCAGAGCAGATTGTGCAGAAAACCAGCCGTAACATGTGTAGGTCTCTTAAAGTATGGAAAGTTTGCAGCTGTTGCATCATAGACTACGTCCATTGCTATAGGCACTGCAGTCAGTATGCGATTGAGTAGAGCGTGCACAATTTCCAGCTCCTTGCGTACACCTTCCGACGGGGAACCCTGGATCCAATCACAACCATCCAGACTGCTCGGAATCCAGTTGCCGATCAGGTTTGGCACACCCACGTGTATATGAGAACTGTGCGCAAGCAACACATCTATGCTAAATTCAGTATACGCCCGCACTGCTTTTTTGGACCGCTGCTTCCAGGACAACGACAGCAGAGCCTCTACAACGTCGGCGAACTCTGATGAGAGATCATGGACAATTTTTCGTGCATCTTTCAAAATTCTCACAGCTTCGTCATCGCTTAACGGTGATTCACGAAGAAAAAATGCAAATGCTTGAACTGCTTTGAAATCGTTGCTATTTAGGGCCGCATTAACCGATGCGATCAGGCCTATTTCTCTTGGCATGGAGAAGCGCACGGTCTTTAGGGCCGCTGTCCTGGCACTCTTCCAAGCTGCTCGGGTAGCGGGTTTCAGTATGGACGTAATGTCCGACTTTGCCGTGGAAACAGACATAATTCAACGGATACAAATTAAAGGAAAGCTGGACAGCTTGTACTTCCCGAATTGGCGCAATTTCTAACTAATTGCTCTGTTAATAAGTGATGTAAATATGCAGCGATACATCGATGTATCGATTTTTACGTAAGCGATTGTTTTCGAATTTCTATGCATCGACGTTATAAAAATATTAACTTTCCATAAAAGAAAGTTAATATTAGGCGGAAAATCAACAGAGATGATTGAAATATGAAATGTTTTTATATCAACAGAGACTCTGTCATTATATTTTACTTAATGTTGTTAACCAATAGAGTTCTCATAAAATTGACTTTTGATGAATACTTAAAAAACCGTTTTAAAAACAACGACGCATAGCAGCTAAGCCTTTTAAGCATATTAAGTGTGACATTATATATGAAAAAATGAAGATCCAAATGCTTAACAATCTAAAATGTACATATATTACAAAATACACATTTTAATGAAAACATCAAATAATTTTTAATACAAATATACCACACAAAGAAATGTAACCGACCAACAAAACATAAATAATGTTCGATGTTTGGACAAACATCGATGAATTGACGATACCTCGTTACCAAAAAAAAAAATCGAAAAACATCGATGCATCGTGCTAATAACACCGTCGATGCTCGATACATTGATGATTTTTACAATATTTTTGGATTCGATGTTTCGATTGATTTTTATAAAAATATCGATGTTACCGACATAACCAAGCAGGGAAATCCCGGAAATCACACAAGTAATACACTTTTGAAATGGCTTGTACTTATAAAAAAAATGTGCTAGATAACTGATTCGGTAGCATGCCAAAACAAGTTGTAATTTCCATTTCAATCCATTTCAGTCCAACCCAGAACAGATTAAAATAAAGATTAAAAGTTGAAAAGAAAATGCAAATTACTTGTATGAATTTGTGCAAAGCGTGCATTGTTAAAATTAACGGGTACTAACATTTGCGTATATTTATGTACGTATTTTATTTTTTTTTAAATTATAGTGTTATATATATAACAAAAATTAAATATAAAGTTAGTATTTTACATGACGCGAATACATGTTGGGAACAACAACTTACTTTGGAATGGTTCCTTATCAGTTCTTTTTTTATATACAAATACATAGAATACATTTTATTATGCATTTTAAATATTACTCTTATTAATATTAAGTATGCCTTTTTTGAATTTAAAATCTTTAAGTAATGCAAAAATACAGACCTAGCTTCTTTTTATACCCCGTCACCAAACAGCAAAAGGGTATAGTACAAGTAGTTCCATGTGCATATAATATGCACAGGAGAGTTGATCTCGCTTCTAGCTTTCATATATTGTTTTATATTACAAAATTTTATGAAAAATCTACATATATATCGATGTTAAGTTTTTTGATACATCGCAGCATTAAAATTCATGGCGATTTTCGTGTAAGCAGTTGTTCTCTGATGTTCTCTCATATTTTATTTCAATATTCTATGAATAAAACCGCCCTTAACACAGCCAAACAAAGCTCAAATTAAATAGTCCTGAAACGCGTCCCGCATGTCCCGCATGTCCCGCATTACCAACATTACAATCAAAATACATAATATTATAGAGGAAGAGACAGAAAACCGTTGTTTTTATCTATTGCACTTGTAGAGTTGCCACATCAGCACCGATATCGATAAGCCCGAAAAGCTCTCCTGTTGAACCGAAAAACGGTGAATAAAGGTGTTCAAAAATCTAAAAGCAACCAGTACCTTCTCTGTTTGTACTTTCATTAATGAATGCTTTTTGGAACATTGCATAAAACATCACTTAAAATGGAAACATTACGGGCGATGGTTGTTTTCAAATATAATATTGGCAGTTGCGATCAATTTAATGGCCTTATAAATAACAAGAGAGAACGCTACAGTCGAGCAAGCCCGACAGTGTAATACCCTGTACCCAGGTAAACTTCCGTCACTGAGTTATATGCGCCCAAAGCAGCAGCAAAAAGAGGAAGAAGAAGAGCGAACTTGTTGCTGCAGTTTGTGGGGGTTGTACTGGCGAGAATTTGTTTCGCTAATAACTTTTCTTAGAATTGACCGAATAAAATTTTGAACAACAGTAGACAATTATATATAAATTATGTGTGCAAAGTTTGGTTTAGGTAGCATTTGAAATGTGGACGCTATTGACGAAATTCTGCAGCGGGGGAAGGGGGGGAAAATTAAAAAAAAAAAAAATAAACTCGTCCTTACTCGGACCTAGGAGAATCTGGATGCCAACTTTGGTTATTCTAGCTTTTATAGTTTCTGAGATCCTCGCGTTCATCCAGACGGACAGACGGACGGACAGACGGACGGACAGACGGACGGACATGTCTAGATCGATTTCTCTCGTCATGCTGATCAAGAATATATATACTTTATGGGGTCGGAGATGCTTCCTTCTGTATGTTACATACTTTGCACAAACCTAATATACCCTTTTTACCCTACGGGTACAGGGTATAACAAGAGAGAACGCTTAAGTCGACCAAACCCTATTTACCCTACGGGTACAGGGTATAACAAGAGAGAACGCTACAGCCGAGCAAGCCCGACTGTGTAATACCCTGTACCCAGGTAAACTTCCGTCACAGTAATATGCGCCCAAAGCAGCAGACAAATAGATTTTGAGGAATTTTTTATTTTATCTCGTATGAAGGGGTATGGTACTACCCACATTTTGAAAGGAATATAAAAAGAAATACTTGTTTGCATGATCGATATGAACATATTGAGCAATACAAGTGTGTACATTTATGAAATATGATGTTACTTTGCCCCGATCACAAAGCTATCTATTCAAATCCTGGACGCGTGTTTCAATACCTTTCTATTAGCATATCGACTAATATAATTATTATTTTAATACTGTCACAGTATACATACATACATGTATGTACATATGTATTTACGAGTATATGGTAAGGGTGTCCACTTAGTCAGTTTGACGTCAGGGCTATTCAGGCGACATTTCCACATGACAAGATTCAATTAAAAAGAGCAAAAAATAAACATAAACTGCCAAAGAAAAACAATAACGACTCTGGTCAACTTAGTGGAGAAATTTAACATTGCACTATGGTTTTTTTTACCGTTTTTTTGGCAGAAATTCTAAATATTAAGATATACTTGTATACATCAATTTTCCTTTGTACTCATAATTTGCTCCCTCAAGACGACATACCAAGTTTTGTTTAGTTTGGGACACTATTTCTACAGCTGCCATATAACCGATATTGTCAACTTGCACTAACTTTGGTATGTTTAACTGTATTAAACCAGAAACTGGCCTATAATTTTCTCCCATGCAATATATTTTAGTTTAGAAAATATATATAATTGAATATAATTTTATTTTACCCGCTACAGAACTTCGTTAATACTGTCCACATTTCAAAAGCTATATAAACAAAACTTTTCACACGTAATCTATTAACAATCATCTACTATATATTCATTTTATTTCAGCCATTTTTAGAAATGACCTATAATTTTACATACATATAGTATGTACCTTGATTAACGTTTTCTTTAATAAAACTCATTAGTTTTTGGTACTCCTCTTAATACTGCAAGCTTTCAAAGTTTACCAAAAATATCTAATTAAACAATTTATAACAAAATAAAAACTGTTATATTTGCACAAAATTTGTTTGGGAATTTCTGCCAAAAAAACCATAGTGCATTGGAATATATTTTTTAGCCCCTCGCTGTAATGAAAACTGCGGTCTGTCATGCAATTTATTTGTAGCCTTGTCGACGCGATGCTGAAGAAAACTTTTTACTTGCAAGCCCATAAGAAAAGCTTCATTTTTTAGCCAAAACCTGAACATAAAACATTTTCGCATAAGCTGCCACTCAAGATCTAAAGTGTTTTTACACTGGACAAATGGAGCGACAGTGTCAGGCAGTTAGCATTAAGTTGCCTTCCATTTGAATTATAAAATGCTACACATTTTCACGTTTACGTCCCTTGACCTGCCCCGACTCCACAACGCTTTGGCGCTGGGACTGTGTGTCAGCTCTATACGTAATTAATTTGACAGCGCCGATGTGGCAAGAAATTGCCATCCGGTAAGTAGTTACCTTTGGTTTCTTCAACATTTTCACATTACTTTCCTTATTTCTCATCTGCTTTGTTGCAGAAAAATCTGTGCCGCTAAAAAGTCCCTTGACTTGATTTTTCTTTTTATACAAATTATGCAAACGACACGCTCAGCCGCCGTTGCGGGTATACATACATACAGTATACTTAGTATGTATATGCACACTACCGCTCAACTAAATAGGTTAATGGTTGAACATGAGAACGCTAAAGTGAGCTCCGAACCTACAATTCGTATCAGTTTTATAATATTAGCAATAAAGTCTGTCATTTTTCAAATTTACAGAGCAATAAATAGGTACATATTATGGGAGGAGTATTGATTAAACCAGATAGAACACTAACGGACAGTGGGATAACGCCATAATTCTTTAAGGGTATAAGGAATGTACGCTTAAAAACTATATTACAATTACACTTTTAAATGAAGTTGATATTAATAACAATTTTAGGCTAAGCGCGCTCGATATGGTAAAAGGCTATAATACTTAGTTTTGTGCGAATGTATGTAACACGCAGAAGGAGGCGTGTCACACCCCACAAAGTATATATATCGAGAGATAACTGATTTTCAATAACTCTAGTTAGTAGTTATGGTATCACACAATGTTCATTCTAAGGAAGTTATAGCCATAAATGTGTTCTCTGACCATGCTCTGCCAGCAGCTGGTGTCGTTGTCGTTGCTCTTGCTGCTGCGTTTTAATAAGTTGGTCGCACACTTATCTGGCATTCCAATCTTATTTATTAATATGTTTCATTCATACCCTCATCTGACTGGGATCGTCTTCAAGCTATATGCAATCATTTTTGTGGCAAGCCTTTAACCTATTTTATTGAGCGGCAGTGTATATTAAAGTATTCGTGTGTGCGTGTGTGTATGTGTATTTTTTCTCACAGCATTATTTTTACTCATTTTATTATTTAAGCACAGCTTTTCATTTTCATTTCGGCTTCACGGTTTGCCGGGAAATGTTTTTAATGTCAACGCCAACGGCTCACTGGCGTGCTGTCAGCTCCATGCAAACCAAGCGAAATGTTGCTGTATATCCTTTTAATTTAAATAAATATACGCCCACAGCCCACAGCCCACATGTCCGTCCTTGGCCAGCCTGCGAGGCAACAAAACGCCATCAATGGCCGTTCGCACAGTATGACGTTTTCACAACCCAAGTAGGCACAATGTTGCTGGTGCTCAATAGGATTCTAGATATACTACAATATATACTCGCAGTACAACATAACCGCTACAAAAGTGCAGATTGAACATATCAATAAGCTCCTTGGCAATATACTCCAGCAGAGATGAAGGACTTATTAGGCACAATGTTGCTCGTGCTCGTGAAGGACTTATTATTTGGAGTAAATGGCCGGCGTCACGCCGCCATGGAGCACACTTGCTGTTTAAAGAAGGTCGAGTTCATAAAGACAGACAGACATACGAACATACAGACGGCCAGACGGACATATCTAAAACGACTCATCTTGTCATACCGATGAAGAATATATAAACTTCTGGGTGATATACTTGTAGAAACGGTTCCTAATACAATTTTACTATGCCATCGGATCACAGATCAATGATGGAACAGAGGTTTCGTTAGGGTTTAGCTTAGATATTAAGACCAGTTAGTAATCAACTCGAAGATAAGCACATAGCTCTGCAATAAAATAAAATAAAAAAATATTTTTTATAATAAATCAACACACTAACAAACGAATTGCGTCTATATATATATTTGCATGTTTGTGTGTGTCTGTGTATGTCTCGTGTGCCTATGCATTCTTGATCTGCCTAGGGCTTAGGGGAACCTGGATACCAAGTTTGGTAATTCTAGCTCTTGTATGTAATTGCTGAGATCGTTGCATTCATCCAGACGGTCAGATGGAGATTGAGAATATATGTATATACTTTTGGGGGTCTGCCACACTTCCTTCTGTGTGTTACGTTATGTAGATTCGCTCAAAGCTAGTATACCCTTTTACCCTTTCGATACAGGGTATAAAAACATAAATTTAACTAACAACATGTTAGATTCCTTATCTGTATAAATATGAATTGTTTTAAAAGCAAATATCGGTTGTGGCATGGCGCACAATAGACCCAAAAACAAAACTGAATGGATAACCATAATGTTAAAATATATTTTTGTTTTCTTTTTTAACAATAAGTGATTTTACATAATTGGAATATATTTCAGAAACATTGAATTATTTTGCATACATCTTTGATTTTGAAAAGCGAAATAGGCGATTTTCATGAACCATGTAATAATCTCTAAAAACACGACTTTCCAACTTGGACTGTTGCAAGCTTTTACTCTAAAACTACGTTATATTTATGTGATAGTCCTGATCTTCAACACATTCTAGACTTCTCACGCTCTTCACATCCAAGCGCACGTTGAATACTGCCGTGTTCAATAGAGGAATTGGCTTATCCGGATCAACGAGTCCATGAATGGCATCCCTTAATAGATGACAAACACTACGCGGAGCTAGAACGCTAAAAATCAGGTTAAGGCGGGTACACCGTCTGGCCCGTGTCCTTTCCAAGCCATAATGGAAGATACCATTCATTTTTGCAACGTACTGATACGAGCCGCTTTTTTAAAAGAGACAAAATATTTCGGTATCCGAAAAAGTAAACTTAAATACCGCATACTTACTTAACTCCGTAATATAATTGTTCCTGTTCCAACAGCTGGTTAACTATGGAAATAAATGCCACGCGCAAACCGCGCCGCGAGCTGAACTGGCGCGCCGTCATACTTTCAAAAATGACGCCTATAAATGCGTCTTTTACTTCCAAAGCAATTTTGAAATGCATGATTGAGTTTTCGAACCTCAGAATACGAAAATACCGAAATTTCTAGTGTAGAGAGTAACTTAAAATAGCCACATATTGATTATATCGGGAATAGGGGTATTTACAAGTATATGAAGTAAGTTCTATTATAACAAAAAAAAACTTCGAATCAGGACACATAATACATATAACCAAACTTATTCTTATACTTATTAACTATAGTATTGCAAATGATAACAAAAAAATAAGTAAATACATAATTATACGATAAAGAAGTGTTATAGAGACTTAATGAAGAAATCGCTTAAAATATTTTGCTCAGTCACTGTCACCGAAAAAAAATAATGTTGGCAACGAATACTTGATTTATTTTATAATATGTACTTAAATATTTTTTAGTAGGCTGAGAATGGGAATGGAGTAGATAACTATTACATATCTAAACCACCAATTTTTAGAACCTTGCAGTATTATATTATTCAATCATTCAATCATGATTACATCAACAAAGCTCTGATCCAAACGTAGTCTTTAAGCATAAAGCAGACCTCTTACCAAATGCTTGCGAAACAATAGAGAAGGCTATAGTCGAGAAAGCTCAACAGTGAAATACCCTGTATACCCTAATTAGAAATATATACATATTTCTTTTGACTGTTACATACTTGTACAGGATATAGTAGAAATGTCTATCAAAGTACGTTATTTTGCAAGACCAAGAGATGGATAAACATCGAATGGACATCGAGTCGATATTTTTCCTTCATGTACTATAACTTGTGCCCAGTTCCTATTCGAGCAAATATGTCTATTGAGTGTATTTTGTTTGTATTTATATCCTTTCGTGATAGCAATTAACTCACTGAAATTATGAGAAAAGTGTGTAAAACATTGTTTCGCCAACTGTTTGGAATCGCAATTGAAAATACTATTATGTTTAAAAAAACAACGTTATGTTAGCCAGACCTAGCCCGGAACGTGAATCGATATTGTCAGTGATAACAACTGCCCAAGTACTCACGCGCAGTAAATTTAATAATGTAACGGTGTAAATAAGGCGCAAGTGCATCACGGTTGTCTCTTTGTCACTAAAGGTTGAGGGAACACGCTCGAATTCGTCGTAGAAGTGGTCGATAAACCTATGTGATCTCAGCACTTCAATACCTTCCTGTCCCATCTCGAGTTTTGCGTGGAACGGAAGCAAATTGTTGGCGAACTGCGAATAATAGCCGGCGCTTACGTAGAAGCTGGTGGCCTGATCTAAAATCTGAAGGGTCGGAAAATGGTGACCAGAATTGAAAAGCCACTTATACACCTTCGTTTGACACTCACATGCAATAGAGATAGAACTGACTTCATCCTTTTAACATCAACATCAACATCCTTACCCCCATTCGCCTCCGCCTTCGCCTCTAGGCGCTTCAATTTGCGGACGTAGTTGCGATGGTAGTACATGATGTAGGCGGTCTGCGTGTCACGCAACTTCTGGGAGACATTGCGCATCCGTTTCTGCTGCCGAAAGCTCACCTTAGCCATGATGCGATGGATGAGCTCAATCGGCAACTTCAATAGTTCGTGATGTACCGGAGAGGGCCGTTTTTTCCGCTTCTCTCCACCCTCGCGCTGTTCAGCTGTCCGTTTTCGTGTTTTAGGCGGCATTTTAATCCCACACAAAATAATGAGTGTAGATGTTTTATCCAGCAATAATTGCAAATGACGTTAGGTTCATTTACTGCTTGTTTCTTTTCTCAACACAAGTTTAAAATAAATACAAATTTAGAACGGCTTGAGAACCCCTCGTCTAAACAAAGTAACAACTCAAAAACAAGAGAGAACGCTACAGTCGAGCAAGCCCGACAGTGTAATACCCTGTACACAGGTAAACTTCCGTCACTGAGTTATATGCGCCCATAGCAGCAGCAAAAAGAGGAAGAAGAAGAGCGAACTTGTTGCTGCAGTTTGTGGGGGTTGTGCTGGCGAGAAATTGTTTCGCTAATAACTTTTCTTAGAATTGACCGAATTGAATAAATATACCCTTTTTACCCTACGGGTACAGGGTATAATAAAACAAACTTGCACAGCGTACACACACTTTCGTGGACTCAGCATTTTTTGCCCATAGATTAGAGTTTGGCACGGGCCGTGTTTTCGGTCGTGGGCCCACGTGTTCGTGTTGCAAACACGAAACAAGAAAGGAATGCTAAAGTCGAGCAGGCTCAACTCTTAAATACCCTGTACCACCCCACAAAAAATTAATTAAATTAATTTTATTAAATTAATTAATTAATTTAATTTATTTAATTAATTAATTTAATTTAATTAATTAACTAAATTAATTTAATTAATTAACTAAATTAAATATAAAATATTCCATGCATGCATAGATACATTTACATTTACATCAGAATCGTGCCTTATGCGTGTTTGTGTACTTGTACATATGTATGTATGTGTGCATTGGGCCTGGTTATATGGCTATAACTTTCTTTCCGATCATTCTATCATAATGAAACTTGGTATACGGAAATATAATTACTAACCTAATGTGACTACCAAATTTTAGTTCAAAATTCCAAGAATTACGGGAGTTATAGAAAATCAGTAATAGGGGGGGAGTGGGGGGGCGGATCAGAAAAAATTAACAAACTCGTCCTTTCTCGGTCTCAGGAGAATCTGTATACCAAGTTTGGTTATTCTAGCTCTTATACTTTCGGAGATCCTTGCGTTCATACAGACAGACGGACAGACAGACGGACAGACGGACATGGCTATATCGACTCGGCTTGTCATGCTGATCAAGAATATATATACTTTGTGGGGTCTACCAAGCCTCCTTCTGTGTGTTCCATGTGCACTCGCACAAAACTAATATACCCTTGTACCCTTTGGGTACAGGGTATAAAAAACACGAATATAACACGAACTAAAATTAACAACTAAAGTATATTTATACTCTGTACATAAAATGTACAAGAGTATATTAGGTTTGCGGGAGCTGAAAATGTAACAGGCAGAAGGAGGCGTGGCAGACCCCACAAAGTATATATATTCTTGATCAGCATGACGAGATGAATCGATCTAGCCCTCTCTGTCTGTCTGTCTGTCCGTCTGTCCGTATGAACACCTGGATCTCCGAGACAATAAGAGATAGAGACACCAAATTTTGCACAAAGATGCCTTATGTGTGTACGCTGTGCAAGTTTGTTTAATTTTTTTTTTTTGATTTTCCCCCCACTTCCTCCTTATGGGGGTTTTCCCGATTTTCCATTCGTATAATCGCCTATATCTCGGAGACTATAAGACCTAGGGACACCAAATTTTAGTCCAAGATGCCTTATGTGAATACGCAGAAAATGTTGTATTTCTCTCCCTACCCCCTCTCCCATGCAAGTCGCGATTTTCATTAATATTGGTTGAGACTGGGGGGTATCAGAAAAAACTACTGCTGAGAGAGAGAGAGAGAGCGAGATAGAGATAGAGAGGGCTAGCCGAGCTCTCTTGTCAACTAGGAAATCTGTTAATAAGCCAATAAGAGTAGTTGAGTTTAAGAACAAATTCGGGTGTCTGGGCAGTGCAGTTTTTACTCCATTTTTAAATGGCAAGCATTGTATGCAAGCAAGTGTAATTTTATCGATAAGAAGGCTGCCTAAACACACACATTCATGCATACGGAAGCAGACACCCCCAAGATATCTAAGAATATCATATATATGTACATACATAGACTTACACAATATCCTTACGTGCATATACTACACATACAAATGTATGTATGTACATATATGCACATACATACACTGAAATAAGTATATGTGTGTGTGTATAAAATGTGGGCTTGTATGTGGCTATGTGGTTATTCCTTCTCACTTCATTTATTGTAAAATGTTAAATTTCACCAAGCGGAAATGTTTATTAGAGCGGAAATTGTTATTTTTAGTGTGCCAGAGTAATATTGCTCTTAATGTTGTTCGCGCGAACGCAGAGTTTGTTGTTGTTGCTCTAGTTGTTGTTGTTGTTGTTGTTGCTGATGCCTACAGCTGACAACAAAGGCGACACGCCAGCACACAAAGAAACGGTTAATTTTCAAAATCAACGGCCAAACTTGCAGCAATCTGCAGCAAATTGCCAACGGAGGGCACACAAATATGGTCGAAATGGTCAAAGCCATAACAGAAGCTGCCACATCAGCAGCTGTGGCAGTAGCAGCAACAGCTACCCAGTAGTCCTTGCTATAAGCACTTAACCCATTAAAGCCCATTTAGAGAACAACATACACAAGCATTTTATATTTATATTATAAAGTTAGGGGTTTTGCTACATCCTTAATGTAATTAATGCTATATATGACAATAATGTCCACTTAAGAAATCCCTATACTACTTACTATAGTAGTATATCGATAAAGTCTTAATGACAAAAAAGGATTTTTTACACAAGCCATTCTTTTGTATCCCAGAACTAATTACGCATTTCGGTTAGTTACAATCGATTGATGAAGAATCGTTAAAGCGCTCAAATAATCAAATGTTGGAGCCGATGTGTGAGAGCTGGCATTATCCTGCAGGAGGATGGCTCCCCATTGCCAGTTGATTTTTCTCAGTTACAAATAGTTGTGTCCCATTCAAATTTACCGTTCTACGTTTCTCCATATTTTCAATCATGATATGAGCAGTTTTTTTTTCCAAGAAAATGAGGATCATTTGCGGGTTTCTGTTTTGCTTCGCATTTATAGATCCGTGATCATGCACACGATTGATTGTTTTTGGGAAAGTAACGGTTTCTGAATGACCTTCACCTTAAGAGTAGAACAGTTGAAACCGCTGGTCCAAGGTCCATAAGAAGGAGAACAGCGAGACGCAATTCAAAAGATTCCCATCCAGCCCCACCTCTGTGGATCCTGGCTCTCAGAGAGCCTTAAATCGAGTTAAAGCTCGGTGGATGAAAAGTGAGCGCATATGCGGACAGCCTGGTTCTAATGATAAAGAAAACATTATTTACCAGCAACAAGCAAAACCTGGTAACTACTCTTGGTAGCAGTGATTGGCTGCGCCAGGCTGTTACAACACAGAGCCTTCTGGCCACGATACAATTCCAAGAGAAAGTCCGAGGTGCTACAATTGGGAAGGACAAGATTCGAGTAGTGACAGGATTTCGAATCTAAGACGTGGCCTAGAACCAAATTTAAGCTCATTTTTAAAAATGAAAACTTGCCTAAGCCAAGCTCCATTTTGTGGCCGAGATCAACTTTAAAACTGAAGACTTAAAACGCTTCATTTTGTATCTGTACTTGACTATAAATGGATATGCGCTAAGAATTGTGTGTACATGCTTCCAACTCAGTACATATAATTAATGTGACACAATACCAACCCCCATTAATAATAATTTAGAGAAATGAAATAATAATATTTTTTAAAAATTAGGTGTTGTTAACGCGTATGCGCAACTTTTGAAGGAACATAATTAGTTGTGTTCCGAGTACACCAACAACAACAACAAAAATTGTTCTTCAAGGACCTACATTTGTATTTACAGCGTATTTTCAAGTGCTTTAGCTGAGGGCACTCGCTGCAGCTTAGCCCGTCACGCAGGTATTGAATCTCTTTGTCAGGACGAGGCAAAACACGCGTGATTTTATAAACACACACATACACACGGGAAGACACGACAGAACAAATGTTTGCATTAAATGAAAGATGGGCTTTTTATAGCTGACTGTCCTTGCAGTTAATGTAAGATTAAATTCTCCACAACGTTTCTCCTTTATTTTGTAAACAAGTAATAAATTAAACATATGTATGTGCATGTATGTAGATTATATAAAGTAATATGCCGAAATTAAATGAAATTAACTGCTAGGCGGAGTCTGTAAACGTATTTCCTGTCCAGACCTCGATGTGTTCAGCCGGGCCATGAAGAGGACTCCCTACATTAATCAAACCTTGAATTGTAAGTAGTCGTCTTTTTAGTATTCCCTCTAAATTTATAAGGAAGTAAATCGAACAGAAAACACCAATGTCGATGTACAAGTATGTCGATGTCTCTTCAAAAAATATCGATGGATAGTCGATGTTTTAAAAAATGTACTTTTCATACAAAAAGAGGCTCATATAAGGGAGAAAATCAATAGGGATAAGATAAGCGGTCGTAATATTTTACGTAACGTATTTTAATAATATTAAGTGTGGATTTCTGGGGTCTTCCACGCCTCCTCCTGCCTGTTACATACATTCGCACAAAACTAGTATACCCTTTCACCCTTTGGGTACACTGTATAAGAAATTATCAAAGCCACAAGAATGCAAACAGCCTGTAGTTTTCTATGAGAGCTAGTGAATCAGAGAAAACATGGCTTCGTAAAAGATATTCTAAGCTTATAGAGACAGTACCGATATTATGGCTATAACGTACCCGCTTACGTAGGAACATTTTTTCGAACGCTCTATATCACACACTTTTAAACGGCGAAAGTGTGTAACTACCAGAAAGAAGGGACCTAGACAGATACTCCTTCCCTCACCACAAATACACACTCTCTCAATCCTATCACGAGAATGGTGAACAGAGAAAACCGTTGAAAAATCCTCGGATCACAAACTGGAAAGGGTTCAGAAGGTTTCTGGGAAAACGTCTACACACATACTTGTACTACTAACCATAACATTGAGAAGTCCCTGTCCTAGCGAGCAGGACTTTCTTTTGCAAAAATATTTAAGTGCA